CTCACACTGCCACTGCCCTAATTCAGCCCCTGAACACCTCTTACCTTAACAGCCCCCTAACTGGTCTACCTGCTTCTAGACTTTCCTTCTCCAATTCCTCCTCCAAATTAATCTTTCTAATGCATTTCTCAGGTCACGTCACTATCCTGTCCAAACTCTTCAAACACTCTCCCTGCCCACCAAAAACAGGCCAAATATCAAAGGTTAACATTGAAGGCCCTCTATAATCAAGCAACACTTTCGATCAATTGATCAACATTTATTAAGCACCTACTATGTGCCAGGCATTGTAGTAAGTGCTGGAAATATGAAAGAAAGCAAAGACAGTCCCTGCTTTCAAGGGGAACTTGAATCTAACTATCCTTCTACCCTTGTCTCATACTACTCCCTTCTCATATAATCTCCTCTGTCTTAGACTTTCTTGCCTCTGTGCCTATACTGATGCCAGATCTCACTTGCAACTCCTCAGCGCCTCTGGTCTGCTGAAATCCCAAGGCTAAGAGACAGAAAGTAACTTGCCCAAGGTCATACAGCCAGTTATGAGCAGCTGTGATACACACCCAGGTTATCTGGCTCCAAGCACAATGCTATTTACACTTGGTGTTCACTTTCCCCCAATAATGGGTTTTTAACAAGTCTGCACATTTTGCCAGCAGGACTCAGCAAGGGTAGAATGAAGAATGACATTTCCTGCATCTCCTAAAACTGAGTGAGTGTTTGATGCACTTCAGAAATCCATGACTTCATCAATATGAGTCTTATAGCACACCGCTTGTTATGAGTTGCTATGGCTGAGCCAGCCCTCTGGGGATGAGCCTCTGCACACTTGTCTGGCTGGTACTCGGGCACAATAGGGCCCCCAGTCAAATTGGGGGGGAAGGGGACCTAGCAGGACCTGTACTTTCCCTGGCATACAAGGCCCATGGTCATCCCCACGACATGAGCAGACATCTGAGAAGTACTTTATTGAAGAGGTTTGACACAACTATCAAAACTACACCACTACACCATCCTGTCAGCTTTGAATACAAGAATATCTACATCTGAAGGCAAGGACTATTCATCTTTGTACCTGGAACAAGGCCTTGTATGCTGAAGAGACCTAAAAATGCCAATCATAGAATTTCCGAGGCAAAGACTATCTTGTCCCGTCTTTGCCTAAACAAGCATCTTTTCTACAACATCCCTTCCATGCCTTTGTCTGAAAACTTCCAACTGAAGGGACCTGAGACCTTCTGGTGCAGCCCACTACACCCATGGCTCTAATTGTTAGGAAGATGTTTTTTTTCTGACATCAAATCTGAACTCTCATCTATGCACCTTCTACCCCCTGCTTCTAGTTTTGCTCTCCTGGGCCAAGCAGGACAAATGCATTCCCTCTTCTTCATGACAGTCTTTCAGATATTTGAAGACAGCTCTCGTGTTCACCCTTCTCTTTCCTGGGCTAACCATCCTCAGTTACATCAACCAGTCCTTGTGTGGCAGAGGTTTAAGAGCCTTCATCTTCATCATTACACTTACTCTGAATACTTTCCAACTTATCATTATCTTTCCCAAAATAGGTTGAGGGGTGGGGGTAGGAAGACCTGATCACAATACCTCAAATATGGCAGGACAATCAATTCCTTAGTCTTAGACACTGCCTCTCTAATATAGCCTATTACAGCATTAGCCTTCCTGGTTGCCCTACCACACTGATGACTCATGTTGATCTGGCAGTCCAATAAGACACTGAGAACTTTTTAGATGAACTGATGTCTAGCCACACCTCCCCCATCTTATGCAAGTAAAATTATTTTTTTTTGAAGCTAGTTGGCATGGTGGATAGAATGTTAGACTTGGAATGAGGGAGACCTGAGTTGAAATTCTGTCTCAGCCATTAACTTCGCTGTGTGACCCTGTGTAAATTACTTAGCCTCACTCAACCTCAATTTCCTCATCTGCAAAATAAGGATATTGATAGCATCAACATCATAAGGTTGTTGTGTGGATCAAACAAGATAACACATGTAAAGTGCTTTGAGAGCCTTCAAGCACTCTGAAAACATTAGCTTTTATTATTTTTACGCTTCTCTTCCTTCAATTGCATCTTAACAGTTTGGGCCCAATGTTCTATCCTGTCTAGATCTTTTTTAATCATTATTATTATTATTATTATTCAGTGTGGTGGCTATCCCTCCAAGCTTTGTGTCACCTTGAAATCTGATAAGCATGCCATCATGCCTTTATCCCAATTACTGTTAAAAATGTCAAGTGGCACAAGGCCATCCATGGATTCCTGAAGCACACAGCTAGAGATCTGGTCCAAGTCAGCACTGCTCTTTGGTCCAGTCTCAACCAATTCCAAACCTACCCAAGTGGCTTCCCCTCTGGTCCACATCTCTCAGTTTGTACCCAAGAACTGCTTGAGGAATCTAAGTAAAGCAGTCACAGCATTCCCGTAGTCTCCCAAAGCCTAGTAACTCTTGTCAACAGATTAAATGAAATTAGTCTGACAGGACTTGTTATTGACAAAGCTATGCTGGTTCTTTGTAGTCATTGACCCCTTTTCTAGATATTCACCAGCTAACCCTTTGGTGCTGCACTCTATTGGTCAAGAATACAAGCTGAGCTCACTGGCCTAGAGTCTGGATAAATCCCTTTGTTGGATAAATCCCTTCCCCAGTCTGGGCTTCAGATTCTCCTTCGGTAAAATTTAGAGGCAAGACTAGATGATCAATTCAGGTCTCTTTCAGTGCTCCTGTTCTCTAAGAATGTGACGAATGAGCATCCAGAAAGAGAATTCACATCATATGTGTTAGGATAAAAGCCAAACTTAAACTAAAGCCCAGAGCAGAAGTAGGGGAACCCAGACATCAGGACAGCAGCATGCAGATCTTGCGGATTTGTCACAAGCATCAATACAAAAAGGTCTTGAGGCTGGGAGTGTGGAAATGCAAGAGTAATTCAAGTCTACTTGTATATCCCGTGACTGCTAAATGTATACACAGGTACAGATACACAGATACATAGGACACAACATAATCCACAACCATCTCATAGTCAGACATATGTGACTAGAAAAGATAACACGCTCCCAAACATTCACATTTCCCATCCTTAAATTCTGTATGAGCTATTCTCACCCTCCCCACCCTTAAAACTGGATCACTGTTTAGACTCAGCCTTGAGCAGTGAAATGAAATTTCCTAAGTTCTTATTACTGTCTGACAAAAGTTTCTAAGAGTAGGTCTTCTAGTTCTATCTATGCACTCTGAGAAAGTTAGAAGGACTGTTGGCCAAAGGATCACTGGGCCTGTCCACAAAGCTATACCAGTTTGGCAGGAGGTACCAGGGATTGTACTCCCTAGCACAGCTCTCAAAAGCCCAGGGTGCTCTCTATGGCACAAGAAAACAATGGAAAAGGAATTCAGTGGAGGTGGACCAGAAACAATTATTTAAAATGCAGCACCAAAAAATACATCAGAATTAGGTGTTTTTTAAAAAGAATCAACAAAACGTTTTAAAACACACAGAAGCAAACAAAAAAGTTCAGAAAGGAGACAGCACAATTTTGCCACTACTTTGTAATAGATGCTTTTTTAAAAAAAAACTGTACATAACTAAAGTCTGCAGTTTCTTCTATAGTTCTTTATATATTGAAACAGTGTTTGTTGATGATTATTAAGTTCCTGGTGTAAAAAAGAATTTTAAAAATACATCGTCTATTTGCCTTAACCTGCAAAAGCAATTTACTCAAGTTAGAAAAGAAACTGTGACCCAACATTCATAAGAACAGCTCAATTTTGAAAGATACCTAAAAAAAATGCTCGGCCTGTGCTTGAGGCTAAATTAAGGCCCCCAACACTCTAATGCCTGTCACCCTGGGCACAGGTCTCATGGAAGCTTCTTTCCTTTCAATTCAGTAAACATGTCCTGAGCGCCTACTGAGAGCAGGGGCCTGTGCCTGGTGCCTGGTGCCTGGGAGGCCCTCAAGTTTACATAAAACATGATGCCAGCCTATGAGAGGGATACACAAAAAGATAACATATCTGATATTATATGATAAATGGATCTGAGCAATATAAACAACAAATACACACTTGGTACAATGAACATAGTAGGTGCTTCATAAATGTACCTTAAACTGAACTGAACTCCTATTCAATCACAAAAGATCTTGGAGCTTCTAAAATCGGTTGACTCCATCCCATTGGAAACAAGGGAAAGAAGATCTGGAGTCCTATGTGACCTTGTGCAGATCGCTTCAGTTTCCTCATTTGTCAAACAAGGGGGTTGAGCTCCATGCCTGTTAAATCATCTTCTAGTTCTCAATGTATGATCCCATGATAAGGACAGCAGGACAAATGGACACCTCAGTGAAGCAATCTGAGAGTCACAAAATCGAAGGATGCCAGAGACAGAGAGAACCTTAGAGAACGTCTAGACCAACCTGCTCACTTTCATCAGTAAGAAAAGCAGGGAGGGGAATGGAGACACTCACTAGCTGTGTGACTCTGGGCAAGTCACCCATCCCCAATTGCCCTGCTAAAAAAAACGTTCCTCCAGGGAGTACAGGAAGCAGAGCTCCTTCAGCTACCCCACAGTGCTTCCAACTGTACAGTCTCCTCTAAATGTAGCTTTTCATTTGACAAGACCTCAAGGAGGCCTGGGTTCACCACCAAAGCAACAAGTGCCTCTTCTCTTTGGGACTGGCCAAAGGGGTGAGCTGTAAAGTCATCACACTAAAGGCATCAGGTGAAGAGGAAGGTTGAAAGGGAAGTGCCTTGACTCATCAGAACATTATAGATTTGTCAGTCTAAATGCCTCCTCGTGTTATCCAAAAAGCAAGAAAAGATGTGGAGTCCTGGTGAAACATGGGAGAAGGACTTGGAAGGGTTTTCCAGACCTCTTCCAGGGCTGTAATTCTAAAACAATGGTACTTTGAATCAATAAAACAGATGTTCTCCATAGGTCTCAGTACACTTCCCACTTTAGCCACTAAGAATTCTAATACTCACCATTTTCCTTTTTCGTCCTTCAGGTTCAATGTTCATTTCCTTATATTTTCCAATAGCAATTTCTAATTTCTTCTTAAGATCAATGGCACGTTTCAAACGTTCATCATGAATCCCTGCTCGAGTAAACAGCTGCAAGTCAAGGAATGACAATTACTGGGGTTTTAAATCAGCACTAGGCCAAATCATTTCAAAATGCACTTGCTGCTTCTTTCTGTAGCTTCTTCCTTATTGTAAATTTTTCTTTTCTATTGTGTATTTTTCTTTCATCTGGTTTTCCACAAAGAAAAGTCCTGATAGAAACAGTTACAGATGGCAGCGTTAGGACCATGCAAGCTTCCATCAGTCTTTTTCTGTCCCAGTACGTGTTCAAGAATAAGGAAGAAGAAATGATATTTACATTTATGTAGTGCATTAAGGTTTACAAAACCCTTTCTTCAATGACCCCGTAAAGTGAGCAGAACAAGTTTTATTGGCCCCTCTTTACAGACATTGGAAACTAAGGCTCTGACTTGCCTGTAGTCACAGAGTGAATAAGTGAGGCAGAATTCAAACGCAGGTCTTTCGACTTCAAGGCCAATGCTTGGATCACTGTGCCATACTTTCTCATAACACTTCTTCCATATTTCTATATCATCTTTCAAGTTTCCTCATGTTTTCCATTTACTAATTTTATAGTTTCATCTGAGTCTCACAAAACCTTTGTTACTGCCAATGTTTGGACTTGCCTTAAGGCCACAGCTATGTAACAACTGACAATCCGTGATGCCATCTGATAAGGGTCTTAAGATTTTATGTCAACCAAGGTTTAAAGAATTTAAAATACAAGGAAGAGTAATGCACCAAGATGTGGTGTCACCCAGCTCTTATAAACAGTTAAGAGCCTTACTATGTGCCAGGCTCTGTGCTAAGCATTATTCCTACCTGAATCCATGAATGAACAGAGGGCAGGAACTTATTTTTAATGAGCTTAAGTCCATCCATGGCACTGTTGACCACAGCTCTGTTATCTTCATTCTCATGTACTTGCAAATCTGTCAAAAATAAAACATATCAAGGGCAGTAAGCAAGAGCACACAGCAGGTTTTTTAAGCTCCTGAAATGATGCATGATTATTTATGCATTAGAGGCAGTTATGGGAGTCCGAGATTTACTCAAAGTAAGGTTGGCTCACCTGAGAGGCACTAGGGAACTCAAAACTAAGCTGGAACTCTCCTAAAGTCCTTTGATAAGCAAAATGCACTCATTTGACAGTAACTTTGTAGTGAAAGTTTGAGAGCTGGGGGAAACTCTCAGGCTGGAACTCCACAATTCCTGGCATTTCTCCATGTAAGTTGGAGGACAAAGATGGACAAGCACAAAGGTCAGTTCCCAAAGTAAAAATCCTGGTCATTTTAGTCATAACTTTATGGGCACAGCAGAAAGCTGTATCTCTCTTTGAAAAATCCTCTCCACACACCATTCATTTGAACAGTTGTTTTGCTCATGACTGTTGTAGTTTAATTTACAGAAATAAATAATGTTGACCAAGACAAACTCCAGTTTATCTAGAATCCCAACAAGAAGAAAGAGGCTCCATAAATGGAAACTTTTCTTTGAGGCTAAACAATACAAACGAATTGATACTCACAATGATGATTGCTAGGCATACAAGATCCTGGTCAAAGAAAAAAAGACTAAGTCATGTTCAGTACAACTTTAGGGCAAAGTGAATTTTCGAGTATTCCAGTTCTTTGATAACTGGTAATCACAGTGTCCTAGCTCTGCTATTTACTAGCTGTGTGACATTGGAGGAATCATCTGCTTTCCTGGGGCTTCAGTTCCCTCCTCTGAAAACTAAAGGCTCAAGAGAACTGGAAACAAAATAGATGCCCAAAGTGAGTGAAAAGATCTTGGTTCAAATCCCTCTTCTGAACCTAAAAATCTGTGTGACCCTGATCAAGTCACTCAACTTCCCCGGACCTCAGTTTCCTCATTTGTAAAATCCAAGGGTTGGGCTCAATGGCCTCTGAGGTCCCTCCTAGCTCCAGATCTATGATCCTAGGAAACTGGAGCACATGACCATAAATGGATTACTTTGCAGTAAGAAACAAGAATTATCAGGGATTCAGAGAAACATGGGAATGTCCATATGAGCAAATGCAGGGTGAAATAAGAACCAACCTTGCAGAGTTACGGGAAGAATCGAAGGAGATGCCATGGAAGCACTTTACAAAGACTGGCTTATTATTACTGGGAATATCACATTACCGATTACAGGGAGAAGGCCATTATCAAACCAAAGGAATTGTAACGGTAGACTTCTGGGCACTATACCACCTGAGCAGGAGGGAGATCTGCAGGCAAAGAAGCTTTCCTCCTTCCATGCATCCATGAAAGCTCTTTTGCTTCTGTGATGTGCTAGGAAAGTAATCTCTGCTCTCCTCTCTTTGGGGCTTATCAGAACATATATACCTTGAACTCTCCCATTGGCCTTGCTGTTCCAGGAAGTCAAAGGCTTTGTAAATGTTTTCTGGATAGCCTTGCAGTCTTATTGTGAGACAGGTATGAGATCAGGAAGTATCTCAACTTGGTAGATGGGAAGAACTTAACTGATGGAGTGACTTGTTCAAGGTGATACAAGCTATTAAAAGGCCCTGCCTGCAGTGAACCCAGATACCCTGGCTTCTAGGCCAGGGCCCTTTCTCTCACCCTGCGTGACCTCACCGTGACTGTGGGGTATAGGGATGGCTGGGAGTGTTTCCTCTTTTGCTGTGTTTACCATTGCCTCTCATCCCACACAACATTGACAGAGGCCATGTATGGTGGCTCTGCTCTGAGCAGTGCTGGTGTGTCACTAAGACTCTAGCGAGCATAATGAAATATTAGGCAGAGTGAGTCCTTACACTCTCTGTAGTACGGTAGGTGCATGACAAGAGAACAACTGACATGGCTGACAAGCAGTTCAGAGGACAAATAAAAGTTTAAAGGAAAACTTGATTGCATCCTACAAATCTTAGCCACAGCATAAATATTAAAAAGAGGTAGGTATTCAATAGTGAAGGCCCTGAAGCCTGACTTTGATTCATGGTTAACAAAAAATATAAAGGAGATAACAGAAAACCAAAGGACAGGAATTCAAGGAAAAGCCTGGGCGAGCAAGCTTATAGCCACTGTGAGATAGAAATATCCATTTTCAATAAAGATCATGCCACTCCAGACCAAAAAAAATTTTATTAAAAAAAATTCTCAAGTGGTCTCTCCAATGAACAACTTGTGGTATGACGGAAAGAAAACTAAACTTGAAATTAGCAAACCCTGATTCAAATTCTCCCTCCAATACTAAACTAGACACAGGATCACAGGCAAATTATTTAACCTCCCTGAGTCTCATTTCAATAAAATTAACAGTGAGCATTTATCAAGTGCCTACTATGCACAAGGTGTTATACTAGGGCCTGAAGAGACAAAGGTAAAAATAGACAGTTGCAGCCGTCTGGCAGCTTCATTTCTACTAAGACGATAAGACATAGATAAAGACAAGGAAACACAAGGTAATCTAAGGGAGAGGAGAACCCTAACAAGTCGGAGGAAGAAGGGGTTTGAGGAGGATTCCTGGACAAGGTGGGACCTGAGTTTCACTTTGCAGGTAGATAAGGATTGTGAGAGGCAGAGGTGAGGAGGGGCATTTCAGCATGGGGGACAGCTTGTACAAATACACAGAGGCAGGGGATGTCATGCCAAACCTATGGAAAAGCTAATAATAGTCCAGTTTGGCTGGGATGTCAACATATTACAGAATAAACTAAAAATGAATAATAAATATTCACACTAGCTACTTCATAAGATTGTTGTTAGGAAAGCACACTATATGCCATAAAGCTACAGAAATGAGGGCTGTTTTTACCTGTGGGGATTTCTAAGTTCAGAGAGTATTTATGTGAGCCAAGACCATGGCTTCTTATAAAGTCCTCCCCATCACCATCATCATCATCATCATCATCATCATCATCATCATCGTCATCATCATCATCGTCATTATTGTAGTCGTCCTCCTCCTCCTCCTCCTCCTCATCATCAGAATCATCTTCATCTTCATGTTCCCTGTGATTCACCTCCTTTGGCTCTGGAGGTCTCGACCGCACTGGCCAATCTCTGTTTCCAACCTCTTTCAGGCAGAGAGCTGGAGGAAGTAAGTCTTTGCTGCAACAAGGCTGCTCCTGGTCATCAGGCCTCAAGCCAGATGCTGGGCTTGCGATTGCACCATTCAAGGCCCCCGCCAAGGCTTCTCTCTCTGCTATAGAAACCCCAGCTGCCACTGCTTCTACCTCCATATCTCTCATGGTAAAATCAAAGGGCATTAAGAGTCTGAAGCAATTCTCCACCTCTGTTAGGCACATTTCAATTTCTTCAGACATTTCTGCCAAAAGACAGGGGAGGCATTTTTAGTGCTGCTGGATGGATTAGTAAACACCAAAATCTCAAAAGCAAATCCATACGTAGAGCCTCAGCCCCTCCCTTAGGAGGGAGATGGCAAACTCTCCTATATCTGCCAAACAATGCTCCTATATCTGCCAGAGGAAAGGTTTACTTTTCAGCACCAAATAAGATGGGCTATGATGGGCTGTAAAAGTGTTCTATGTTCACAATCACATTCACATATTCTCTTCTCTCTCTCTCTCTCTGTCTCCATCTCTCTCCCCCTCCCTCTCCCTTAAACACACACACACACACACTCTAAAAACAACCTCTCCCACAGTGTATTCTACTCAAACCCTCAGTGTGTTTATCAATGATGGCTTTTTAATTGCTTAATAAACCATAAAGAACAACAGATGGATCTGCAAGGTTGTTCTCAGAGATGACACTGGGTAATGATGCTGCAGTTCCTAAAACGTATGTTGTTCTGGCAGGCCATTGGTCGATCTATGAATACCAAGTGAGACGTTAGGGCACAAATAGCTTTGGTAAAGTTCGCCTTCGGCTTAGAATTATTAAGGGACACTGAATTCCCAATCCCAAGCTGACTTTTTACTTACCTGAGAAAAGAATAAAGGTCCTATGAATTATTCAACACTCTCATCTGCTTCCTTACTAGTTCTCCTTCCTGCCACTTTTCTTTCTGTAATTGGCCAGTTACTCCAAGTGAAGAAATCACTCCCTGGGAAGGCGGGAGCGAGGGAGGGACGCTCTCTGATGCTTTGGGGTTATTAGAACTTTTATCTAGTGCATTGGTTTCTAATTGGCTAAATGATCCCTTGGTCAGTGTTTCTCAAAGTGGGGCCTCTGGGCAACAAGATCCCCTGAGGGGTTCTCCAGGTAATTTTCAGATAATCAAAATGCAAGGGCAGATCATACTGTCACCTAGGTGAGGATTTCAAACAGCATGGAGAAAATAGCTTTATTTAGGAAACTCACCAACCAAGGCCATGGTCAGCTCAAATAAAATGCTATCTCCAAGTTTTAATTCTGAACCCAAGTCAAAAAAGGAAGGGGACAGTGTGAAAAGGGAGGTCTCATAGAATCACAGAATTACAAAGGTCTTTAGAGGGCATCTAAGTCCAAACTCTGCTTGAGTAGGTATCCCCTCTACAAATTCCCCAAATGAGTCCTCACTTAGCTTTCACTTGGAGGCCCCTAATGATACAGAATTCACAATCTCCTAAGGCAGATCATTCCACTTTTGGACAGTTCTAAATGTTAGAAAGTTCATCAGACTGAGCCTAATTCTGCCACTCTATCCTTCGAAATAAAGAATAACAAGGTCTAGTCCTCATTCAAATACTTAAAAAGCAGTAACAGTTAACTTCCTACACCCAAGTTTTCTCTTCCCTAATTCCTCTTCCCTAATTCCTTCATCCCCAATTCTTCCAACTTATCCCCTCACCCCATAGTCTCCTGTCCCTTCACTATCTTAGTCATCCTCCTCTCGAGCCGCTCCAGGTTTTCAATGCCTTTCCAAAAACACATTCCCCAGAGCCAAACACAAGAGTCCAGGGGTGGTCTGATCAGGACAAAGGAACAACAGGACTACCAGCCCTAACCCCAGTTCTGGGTACTACAGAAAACTTTCTTAAAGGAGACAACCATGACATTTCTGTCTTGTTCCCTCTCCCTCTTCCCCAGACTCCATTCGCCAACCTCTCTAGGCACCTTCCTGACATTTTCTCATGAAATGTAAACTCTGTACTGGTCAACAACGAAGCAGACCAAAGGATACATCACCTAGAAGAAATTCTTTGGCGGACAGGAGTAGACAGGATAGAGAGCTCAGAAATTCTGGCCATCAATGATCCAGAGACCACAATCTGAGCCCCCAGAGCAGGGCTTCTTACCCTTGGAACCACAGCCCCACCCCTCCAGGGCCCATGGACAGATTTCAAGGGATTCAGGAACTTGAACAGGAAAAAAAAATTACATTTTTATTTTCACTAACCTCTATTTAAAATTTAGCACCCCCTTCAATTACGAATTTTTTTTTAAATCTTCTGAGAAGGGGTTCATAGGTTTCACTAGTCTGCCGGAGGTATCCATTACACACAAAAAGGTCAAGAACCCCTATCCTAGGACAGCCTTCCTTAGGAGCAAGGATGGAGCAAGGCCACTAGATGGCGGAGGAGAGGCATTAAAATATCTCGTTACCGTTGCTTTAGAAATTGCTGAGCCATCAGCACACAGTTTGGCTTTCTTTAAGACTTCATTACAGAATAGCAAATATAAGCACAACAATGTATTTATTATCATTAGTATCATTAAATAATGTACATGTGCATCCTTCAAAGATCTGTTCTGAAAAGCAATGCAGATGTGATTATCAGAATAAGCATCACTCTAGTACCTCCTATGTCCCAGGTACTGTGCTAAGCCCTTCACAAATATTATTTCATTTGATCCTCACAACAACCATGGGAGAAAGGGCCTGTTATTATTTCCCTTTTACAGTTGAGGAAAATGAGGCAAACAGGAGTAAATGACTTGCCCAAGGTCACACAGCTAGTATCTGAGGCTGAATTTAAACTCAGGTCTTCCTGCCCCAAGGGCCAGTGCTCCATTGACTGAGCCACCTAGCTGCCTGTTTTAGGAGCAACCTCTCGGGGCAGCTAGGTGGTACAGTAGATAGAGCACTGGCCCTGGAGTCAGGAGGACCTAAGTTCAAATCCAGTCTCAGACCAGACATTTAACACTTACTAGCTGTGTTACCCTAGGCAAGTCACTTAACTCCAATTGCCTCACCCACACAACAACAAAGGAGCAACCTCTCCCTCTCAGAACCTCCAGAGCCACACTTTCCCTTACCTGTCCCAGGCCAGGTCCTATATCCTGCCTTTGGTTGAAATTGGTGTTACTTATGTCAGGAACCAGCTTGAAGTCCTCAACGCAAAGACCCAAGTTCTATGAGGGTAAACAGTGGGCACTGGGGGGAATACCACATTCTGCACTAATATCATCAGTAACTTCACTTATGCTTGAAGGAGCCAACCACTAGCTCACCCAGCTAATGTACTTGACTCAATATTCAGTACTTTATTCAATGACCTGATAAAAGAAGCCAAGCTTAAGAACTGATCCCATTTAACAGGCAAGGAAACCGAGGGTCAGAGAGGATCAGAGCCAAGCCGGAGGTCACACAGCCAGTGAGGGACTTCATTCCATGCTGTAATAGGTACATCATGGGCACTTTATAAATAGATACTTCTTGAACATGGCTATCAGGACTTGCCTTCCATTTCTTTTTCCATTCTTTTGGCCCTTTCCTTATAGATGCTGTCTAATCGTTTTTGTTTCTCTTCATCTCTTTTTCTTTCAGCCAAAGTCCTGGCGCTAACATCTTGAAAATCCACCTGAGAAATTAAAAATAAATATTAGGCCTGTCTGTGAGAAATATCAAAGAGTTTCAAATGTAGAAAAAAAAGTTATCTGCTACAAAGAAGCTTGGAGATCAAAAACAAGAGTGTGCATTTAGGTACAGCCCTTTTTTGTTAGCTGTCTAGTAGCACTTCCACACTCATTAACTTCCCATCTTCACAACAGCCCTGGGAGGTAGAGCCAATGAAAGTACTACTCAACCCATTTCACAGATGGGGAAAATGAGGCTCAGACTTGCCTGGGCTGATATGACTAATAAGTAATAGAGACAGCCATTAAACTCAGGATTCTTTCCCCTCTCCCATACTGTCCAGAATGTTTGTAGCTTCGAACTTAAGACCAATACATTATAAATCTATTAGAAATATACAATAATTCTGGGGGTTTACTACTGATAACAAAGTATGCAGCTACTTTAAAAAAGAAAAAAATTAAAAGCACCAAAAAATGAGAAAGCTAACGGCACTGGGATAGGGATAGTCTCCTCGACAATGATTTGGGAAATAAGAGGTCAGTCAGTTGCCTAGGAAGACAGACGGGGCTAAAGAATGTAGGCTGGCAAGGCTCAGGTGAGAGGCTCTGCCCCACCGAAAAAGAATCAAAGGTGCCACTCTTAAAAGAGGCCAGCACCTTATGAAGGGAAGAGCACCAGATCCGGACTCTGAAGACCCAGGTTCAAGTTTGTGCTTCGGTCACATCACCCAGGTCTGTGGCCTAGACCTCAAATACCAAGGCCTGAAACACGAGACTTTTGTGGACACACAAAACTAAGGGAAGCAGACCAAGAAAGCCACCTGGTTTGAGGGGGAAAGTCCCTTCCCTAAGCTCCATGGCTTAGCCTAGCTGAGGCTTTGCACAGCTCCCCTACCTGTCCTTCTTCCAACACAGCCACTTCTACAGCCACAAGGTCAGGTCAGCTTCGGAAGCACCAAGCCAGAGGTATAGGCTCTCCATACTCTTATATGGTAGGTACAGAGCGGGGAAACCGGTTGGTACCCTCACTAGGGTACCAGGGACAGCAGCTGCTGCCTTCCTGCTCACACAATTCAACTTTCTATTTCCCTCACACGGTAGTAATACATGCCACAGAACGATTTAAAACAGATCAAGGAATTTTTGATTGAGACTAAAGAAAAGGCTCCCATAGAATGTCAGCCTTCTGATTACTTTGTTTTAGTATTACCTTCACATAGTATACAAGACTAGGGGCTCTCCATGTCTTCTCATGGATCCCAAAGAGTTGACTATCTGCTGTACCCTAAGGACTACTGGGCCTTTCCAACTCCCCTGCAGCTGAAACCTCCTCTCCCCAGGGTCTCCTCCTACCAGAGTGTGAGCTCCCTGAGGTCAGGGGCTGTCTTGAGTTTCTGTTTTTAACCAAGAGCTTAGCCCAGTGTTTGACACATAGTTACCACTTAATAAATGCTTCTTCATTCAGTCAGTCATTAAGACTTTTTTTTTTAATCCAAGCTTTGACCAGAAGGAGCCACTTAACTTGATTTTACTAACAAACACAGGAAGTTCCAGGTGGGTGGCAGGAGCTGCCACTGATCTGTGAGGCATAAACTGCTTTCTGAGGTCTTCCCCTAGAGAACTGTCCCCCCAATATGCTCGTGGTTCCCTCAGGCCACACAAGTGACTTCAGCTTACACAAAAAGCAAGTCAAACCCCTAACCTTCAAGAGGCCAAAGTCACAGTGAGAATGGCAAAAAGAGCACGTGATCCAAAGCACATTCTCTCAGCAGTAAGTGCCCAGAACACGCAATCCAACAATGAAAAATAGCTACTAACATCATGGTGACTTCATGGTACAGTGGACTGAATGGAGGACTTGGAGTAGGGAAGGCATGATTATTTTTTTATTAATTCAGATTATTATTAACAATAATAATAATTTTAAAAAATTATGTATGCAATGCTAACTATGTGTTGTGCAATGTGCTAAACATTTTTTTACAAATATCATTTCACCTGATCCTCACAACAACCCTGAGGGGCAGGTGCTATTATTATCACCATTTTATAGATGAGGAAACTGAGGCAAAAAAAACCCATTAAGTGACTTGCCCAGGGTCACACAGCTACTAAGTATCTAAAGCTGGATTTGAACTCAGGATTTCCTGACTCCAGGCCCAGTCTCAGTTTGGGTTAAATTACAGCTTTGTTTCTGAAAGGATGTCAAGCAGCATGCTAGAAGAAAAATGGTATTTTAGGACAACTAGGGTTTTTGTTAAGCCCAGAAGCTTTGAACATTATAATTATGTTGCTTAAGCTACAATCACAATCTTCCATTCCTCCCTAAGATGGAACGTTCCTGGTTTTTTCATGCTATAAAATTCAACAAACCCGCCTAGCCTATTATCTTCTTTTCCCTTACCTTAATGGGATCTAGCACAGAAGATCGAGGTCTCTAACTACTTCTGAAAGCTGAAGATGATTGACTTAAATGCTGATAAATGTTTAATGACTCCATTACATTTTTCACAATAACTTGGATGAAAGGATAGGTGTCACAAGTACATCAAATCTGCAGATGACACAAAGCTGGGAGAGATAGCAAACACATCAGATCACAAAATCAGGGTCCAAAAAGATCTTGACAGGCTAGCTGTAAAGAAAAATTCCTCTGGATTAGAATTATCCAAAGAGGTATGGACTGCCTCAATAGGTAATGAGTTCCCTGTCACTCAAGGTATTTGAGAGCAAGATGGATGACCACTCTCCAGGGGTCTTGTAAAGAGATTCCCATTTAACTACACGCTGTACTAGATTGCCTTCCGGGATCCCTTCCAACTCTAAGATTCTAGACTATAAGAAGCAGCTTGCTACAGCAGAAAGAACTTGGAGTCAGGAGATCTGGGTCCCAGTCTTGCCTCTGTCCCCTAACAGCACAAGTGACCAAGGGACAAATCACTTTATCTGACTGGAACCCCTAACTGGTCTCCATGCCTCCGAGGAGACCAGAAAGTGATTGTTCCCTCCTGAAATTTTTCTAAGATTATTTTGTCTGGCCCTCTCCTTTATCCTATCTCACAGGACAGTAGTGAGGCTCACCAAGATATTGTTTGTTTGAAAGTACTTCATAAATGCTAAAGCACTATGTAAATGTCAATTATTACTAGTATTAAGCTCAGTTCTTCTGTACTTGTGACAACCAGGTTTCATGCTGCCTTATTAAGGGTAGGGAATATTTAATTTTCCTTCTTTGTCTCCCCAGGGCTTTGCCCATGGTAGATGCTCATTAATAAGTATTTGTTGAATTAAATTGAACAAAGATTTTCCCAGACAAGTAGTCTACAAAACTCAACATGGCACGTGCTAGGAGAAAACAGCATTGATTCAATTTAGCTTGTCAGGAAACAAGTCAAATGCCTCCCCCTCCCCCACTCTTGCCTACATTCCAAGTTCTCTTAGTAAATCAAACAGTAACATTTTCTCATTCACAACACTTGGAAATGAAAAACTGCCCTAGCGGTACAGAAAAGAGTCCAGCCACTGGTCAAGTGCTGACCCAGCCATGAAGGTTCCAGGGTTTGAATAATTCCAAAAGCAAAGGCACAAGGTGTTACTGCATATTATTGAATAAGTCTCTTTTATAATGTTTTCAGTTCAGATTACTCATCTCTATTCACCTGTAAAATGGGCTAATAATGTTTCCCTACTACCCAGAAGTATAGTAAAAGTTGAGTAATTGAGCCTTGTAAAATATGTAATGAAGTATGTGATTCTCCTGGTGAGAGGTAGTACAGAATTGCAAATATGTCACCTCTCTTAAATCATCACGTGATAAAAATATTTGCTGCTTTGTCGGGAGAAAATCAAACAGGAAAGGCCACAGCCTCAACCTCAAAATCACACTTCTCTGCTTAACAACATATGTGGTCATTTAAGCCAGTAGAAGGTGTCTCTTCCAGACTCACTCAAGGTGTGTTTGGGTACAAATTCTATTCCAACCTCTTACAAACACCGAACTGAAAACTACTTCATTTATCACCTAGACAGTGGATTCTGTCATCGTTTGTTTAAATGGTTCACTATAGGCTTTAAAAGAGACTGATCTGAAGTTTGAAGTTAAGCAACAACAACAAAGAAAATTAAATGGAGACTTTTTAAAGTTCACTCAAAAGACAGGAGAAAGAGAAGTGCTCATTGTGATGTGACTTTAAGGATTCATTATAAAACATTTATAAGGTACATATGGCCCCCATGTGCCACAAGGTTCATGGAAAAAGATTCATTTATTCAAGCTAGTCAATCCTCTTACCATGATAATCATCTTATTTCTTGTTATCCTTGCTCACGCCTAGCCTAATATAAGGAATGGAGAATTCATATGAAGCTGCCAGATCCTGGGATTTAGACTTGCAGAGAACCCAGAGATCATCTAGTCTAATCTCTCCATTTTACAGATGAGTAAACAGGTCCAGAGACACAGTCACAAAGGTTCAGAGACAGCGCAAGAGTTCATGTCCTGGGCCTCCAAATTCAGTGCTTTTTCCGGCACAGAAACAATTTCATAAGCATCATTCTCCTACCTGCAGTTTTGGGAGGTTCCAAAAAGTATGCCAAGCAACTATCTTCACTATAAACCATATCACGGGAATAATTTCCGTGGTTTAAAGAAAATATTCTATTATGCCATACTCTAGCATGGCCAATAAATAACAGTAGAAATATCCACTAAATGGCGAAGAACTGGACTTTGAGGGGATGCCCATCAACTGGGGAATAGCTAAACAAGTTGTGGTATATGAGTGCGATGGAATACTATCGTACTATAAGAAATGACAAGCAGGATGCTTTCAGAAGAACCTGGAAAGACTTACATGAACTGATGCAAAGTGAAGTGAGCAGAACCAGGAGAACACTGTACACTGTAACAGCAATATTGTACGATGATCAACTGTGAATGACTTAGCTATTCTCAGCAATACAATGATCTAAGACAATTCCAAAGGACTTATGATGAAAAATGCTATCCACCTCCAGAGAAAGAAATGATGGAGTCAGAATGCAGATTGAAGCATACTTTTTTTTTAAAACATTCTTTATTTTTCTTGTGGTTTTTTGTCTGTGTTTTCTTTCACAACATGACTAATAAGGAAATATGTTTTGCATGACTGCACATGTATAACCTAAAAAAGAAAGAAAGAAAAGAATATATTGTACAGGAGTGATGCTTATGAATATTTTATGAGTGCTTGGTTTCTTATTTCTTGATTATAAATCAGATTTCCCAGCACAAAAAAAAAAGAAGAAATATCCACTAAAGCCCTTCTCTGATGTCTCATCATGATATGGAAGTAATCTGGGGTTACAAGAGACTATATCAATGAAGCACATCTACCAAGTGGGCCAGGAAACACATAGCAGCTCCTGCAAGGGCTAGCCTTGCTAAATGTAGAAAGACTCACCATTGGATAGCCAGCCACAAGGGGACAGATTTTGAGGATCACAGGAAATCATTAAACACCCACACTAAGGCATGAAGGGGCTATGACTGAGAAGGAGCATCAACACTGATGAAATCATGAGCATTTGAAATATTGAAGTACAAATAGCCACAAATGCTATATGACTTGGTGGCAAAAATGGCCCCTCATTTCTCCTATCGTCTTTGTGATTTTACGTTTCATTTTCATCTCTGGTCTGAGACTCTGATCTCAAACTAAATACTGCATCTTGTTAGAGCCAATGTGATGATAGCTACTATAGCAAATCACTGGTTTGCTCATTCTTTAAATTCTGAGTACTGTTTGTATGAATTACAACAAAATATATTGACTCATTGACATAAACTCTTCCAGAGTTTCAAATGTTTAATGCTCTACAATTCCAGCCAAAGTCTTTGAGGGAGGAGGTTGCACCTTTCTGCCTCTACTCATTCTCACAGACCTTGAATGAATTTTGGCCACCATCTACTTAAATCTGTCTCTCCATTTCATTTTAGGTGCCACTTTCTCTTCCCTCATCCAATTTTCTTCAAATTTTCTTATAGCCTTGTATATGTCTCCACCTTGCATCAAATATGTGGGCATACTGCAATCCTTCTATTAGACTGTAGGCTCTAGGAGTGCAGGCACTATGTCATTTTTCATCTTGGCATCCCCAAACCAAGAACAATGCTTTGCATCTATCAGACTCTTAAATATTTGTTGAACTGAAGTAACTTTCCACTCTATTTTTTCTTTCACATTAAAAAAAAAACTACCTAGGAAATTAAGAGCAAAATAACCCACCTTACTCGTCTTTCTCTACCCTCCTTAGTATTCTTATGCCTGGCTGAAGGAGAGAATGCAAGGGAAATAAGAGTTAAATGACCATCTTTTACTGTAAGATGCACAACCTGAAAAAAAATTCTAAAGTAACCAGCTTGAAGAGAGAAAATAATAAATAGGAAGCACCACGGCAATTATCTTACTCCATTAGACATCTGCGTAGTTTGCTATCAACAGACCTCTGTCTTGTGGGACACAGGCTAAGGACCATCCCTAGAGTTTCCAGAAAGAAAAATCATACTGTGTCTTCCATCCCAAACCCCTCTGTTTCATACAGGTGAAATAATGTTAGAACTAACAGCCCAGGTAGCCTGGAAGGGGGAAAGTAACAAAAGTGTAGCATGAGATTGGGGAGGAGTTGAAGGTCGAGGGGACTGCAGGGTTTCCAAGCTGACTGTATTTGGACCTGGGGCTTTTCTGTTCCCTCTGCCCCTCCCCAGCTACCTCCCTAAGTCACTACCTAACTGTCAGTCAGATGAGGTTCAAGAGTGGTACAACATCATACTGGCTCTGGCTAGGAAATACCCTTTTTGAATCCTTCAGAGTAAATCAAATAACAAGAGTTCCTACCCAAAATGAAAGAATCCCAAGATCATGTGGAAAGGCTAGTTAACTATATTTTTCTACTATATTCACAGGCAGCTCCATTACATATAAAACATTTATAAAATGGATATATCTGCAAGCAAGCCCTGCCACCTCACCAGAGACCTACCCCAGGGACTGCTGTGTGGTTTCCACAGGCTACAGAAGCAAACCTGGAGGGGAGAAGGAAGGTGGTACATCTTCCTTCTCTACCTCACAGAAGAGTATTCCAACAGTTCTTTTAGCTGCTGTATTAATTCTGACAACACCTTGGTGAAGAAAAGGCAGAAAACATTTTTCCTTTTTTATAACTGAGGAAATTTAAGAGAAGTCATGAACTGCCCCTATATTTTGCATATTTCCACGGTAGGAAAAATTACAGCAATAGAATATATAATTGACAGTGTTATCTCTAAGATTTTATTGAAAATTTCTTTAGATTTATAATCTAATAATTATGAGCTATAAATGATAAAATAAGTGGATCACATTTTCAGCCTACTGATGTTATAATGATCTACACATGGGTTTAAAATAAGCTTACAAAAAAGTTAATAAAACATACATGACTGTTAGGAAGAAACCTACTCTCTACTACATCCCACTGCCTTTCCAAATAAGAAATGGGTCCAGGAACAGGGGTACCACTGCCCCAGGACTAATGTAAACCCTGCAGAATTCAGGAACTGACTACTCTTCTGCAGAAACCTTTTTGGGATACACTGATGTTTACAAATGATGCCAAAAAGTATGTGTTGAAAATAAACAGTAATTCCACAGAACAGAGAACAATCTCCTCAGGCATTGGAAAGTGCAATGAATACTTGCAAATAATGAATATCATTGAAAATTCCATCACAATATCATGGTTTTTGCTTATAAAGGAAAAAACTGAAGGAGTCCTAGTTTAGAGCTGTGAAGCAAAGTATTTTGTAAATCATAAAACATTAGAGAAACATGAAGTGCTATGATGACAAAGATGATGCAAAATACCTTTTTGTTATGTTTTAAGAAATGATATCCAAGAGAAAGCTTCTTGTAGGCATCTCCATATTTCTCATTCCATTCTGTAACAGATTTGAGGGCAGCTTTCTTCAATTTCTGGGCTACTTCTTTTGGGGGTGGGAGAGGCTGCTCATAGTCTGTTTCCATTGTGAGTTCCAGGAATTCTTGGAAGTTGGAAATAATTAATGTCCGAAACTGATGTGACCTGGTAAAGAGCTCATCCACAATCTGAAAAGCTGAGAAACGTATCTCAGCATGTTCTTGATTCAATTGAGTCATGAGTAAATGGTAAGCATGACTGACGTGCTCCTCTGAAGATCTGTTGAAATATTAACAATCCTTAGCCAACAACACAAAGCCTGAAAAACAAATTGATTTAGCATTTCCTCCTAATTTTAAGTAAGCCTTCTTTATATATAAATAGTATATAACTTTAAGCTAAATAACTCAAGATAAGTCCCCACATCAATCAATAAGCTTTTAGCTCTTAGATGTTTTTAACAGGATTCCTAGGCTGAAAACTGTTTTCTTCACACATTCCTAATATTTCTAAGGGAAGTAATTTTCTTTAAATTATCAGAAAATTATCATTCCCTGAAACCTCAGGCATGGAGCAGGAAGGGGCTCCGGTTACATACTAGACATCTTAACCACAATGCCAGAGAAAGTAGGGTAAACAATCCTTTTAAAGGGTCATCCAACAGGTAATTAAATTCATCTGGAAATAAAGATCTTAAAGAAAAAAGAACAGCAAAATCTCAGAAGAAACAAAATTTCAAGTATCCCAAAAGCTAATGGAAGTATGCACAGAGGGTATAAGTGAGCTGCAGCATATTACCAAGAACACGCACATGAGAAATGAAGTCAAAGCAAAAACAAGGACACGCATGTGTGGGGAAAGATGAATTAACCATGCATTACGAATGAGAGCCAACACATAGACAGGGGACACTGGGTACCCTCCATATGTTAAAAGAACCAGAGGAATGCCTTCAGCATCCTGGGTGATTCTTCTGTGAAACATTTACAGAAATATATGGTTAAGAATCACCCAATATGCAAAGGATTGGAAAAGCTGTGATCTGTGGAGGAAAAACTAAGTAAGTAAAGAAGTTGCCTATAAAGAGAAAGTCCAAAAGAAACCCAGCATTTTATTAACATCATTAGGACACTAAAACTTCGCAAAAAAGAATTTGGTTTCACTTCCCACCCCCACCTTCTTTCTTTCTTATAAATTTTTGGCCCAGCAGTGAGATGAAGATCGGAAGTAGAGAAGGAGAAAAGACAGATGGAGATAAGTGTGGCTGGAAGCAGGGCATAAATGGAATAGGAGATGGCTGTCTATGGGGCAGCCACAGGATGACAGATTTCCCACTGCTGCACAAACGATCCCGTGCCTTCCCATCTTCTCCAGCAGACTGCCCTCTCTATCATCCCTACTCTTCACTCATCTTCAGTCTCTCCCTGTCTATTGTTTCATTTACTGCTGCCTACAGACATGTCCACGTCTCCCCCATGCTCAAAAATCCCTCACTTGATCCACCCACCCCTGCTAACTATTGCCGCACATCTCTCCTCCCCTTTGAGGCTAAACTCCTTTGAAAAAGCTTCCATTTCTTCTCCTCTCACCTTCTTAACTCCTTGCTGTTTGGCTTCCAACCTCATCATTCCACTGAAACTGCTCTTTCTAAAGTTACTGGTGGCCTCTTACTGTCAAATCCAATGGCCTTTTCTCAGTCTTCATTCTCCCTGACCTCTCTGCAGCCTCTGAAACTGTTGATCATTCTCTTCTCCCTAGGTTTTTGGGACACTGCTCTCTCCCGGTCCTCCTCCTACCTGTCTGATGCCCCCTCAGTCTTCCTGCTCGATCTTTATCCAAGGCATGCCTGCTAAAGGTAGGGAGTCCCCAGGGCTCTGTGCTGGGCCTTCTTCTCTTCTTCCTCTATACTATTTTGCTTGGTGATCTCATCAATTCCCACGGATTCAATGATCATCTCTACGCTAATGATTCACAGATCTATTTATACAACCCTAACCTTTTCCCTAATCCTCAGACTAGTATCTCCAACTGCCTACTGGCTATGCTGATCTAGATGTCCTCTAGAAATCTTGAACTCAACATGTCCAAAACTGAACTTATCTTTCCTCCCAAGCCCTTCTCTTCCCAAACTTGCCTGTTACTGTTGAGGGCAGCACCATCCTCCCAGGTTCACAACCTATATTTCACTCTCAGCTTTTCAATCTCTCACCACCACCACCACCCCCATATCAATTTGTTACCAGGCCTGTTGATTTTACCTTTGTAACATCTCTCTTTTATGCCCCCACTTCAGGGGCTCCTTATCACCTCCAGGATCAAATATAAAAAACTGTTTGGCACTTTAACATCTTCCTGACTTGGCACTCTTCTGCCTTTCCAGTCTTCCCACATACTGTGAGATCTAATAACACTGGTCTCCTTGCCATTCCTTGCACAAGAGACTCTACTCCCTACTCCAGGCATTTTTCAATGACTGTCTCCCATACACAGAACATTCTCCTTCCTTATCTCTACCTCTTGGATTCTCTGACTCATTCAAGTTTCCGCTAAAATTCACCCTTCTATAAGAAGCCTTTCTTGATCCCCCTTAATGCTGTTGACTGTTTCCAATCAATCCTGTCTACGTCTTATTCATTACATAGTTATTTTCATGTTGTCTCCCCATTAGACTGTGAGTTCCTCAAGAGCAGGGACTGTCTTTTATCTCTCTTTGTATCCTTAGTGCTTAGCACAGTGCCTGGCCATCCCATCCATTCCACGACTCCCTAACCACAGGACATACTTGCAGATTTTCTTCACTTCCTTCATTTTTTCAGGATCCAGCTGTGGTTCTCCTGAAGTGGTGAGGTCCTCCACTAACTGAGAAAGCTTTTGATCCATATCCGGAAAGCTGCAACAGAGAGACACTAAATCGTGACATGGTTCTTTTAAAAATAATTTAAAATTCTTCTGGGAGTCTTCTCTGCGGAAAAGTATAAAAGTCCAAGGTTTTCAGTGGTTAGAGACTCACCTGAAGTATTTACCCTTTTCAGAGCAACTGATGGAAGCCCAGAGCTTGAGAACAGGAAAAACCAGATTTCAATTTTGACTTGGAGACTGCCTCTGATTTAAGCTATTTGCCCAGTTCTATATGTGACTCTTAAATCCCTCCAGCTGTGAAACAAAGTTGTACCCAAATCCCAAGAGTGCTATAAGGATTAATGCTTGCAAAGAATTTTGAAGGTACATAGTACTTAACTATTATTTTGTTCTCAGAACACCCATTTTATCTGTTCTGAAAACAAGTACGTACTGGAAAAACCTATAAAGGAAAAAATAATTAAAAAAACCCCTATCAAACAGGTTTTTATTAGCTGCTAGTGATATCATATATCCCCCAAGGCATAGTGCAAGATGGTCCACATACATCTGGAGAAGCAATTTTAGAAAGGAATACACAACACTGTACATCTCTCCAGACACCCCTTAGCAGATGGCAGACCATTTCTGATAAATAGTGATATCCCATTGCCTTCTACAGTTTTTGTCTTGTGCCAGTTCCATTGTGAACTGGTAACACTGAATTTAACAATGACTTTGAGCTGTTGGGTAGGTGCAAAGAAAGCCATGTTAACAACAAAAAAAATGGAAACAGACTATATGGCTAATGACTGGGAAATGACTAAATGAACTGCGGCATATCAACGCAATGGATTATTATTGCACCATAAAAGGACAAATATGAAGACTATAAATGAATATGGAAAGACATCTGAAGTGATACAGAGAGAAGAAAGCATTCAGAACAAACATACTGCCTATATAAAAAGTAACAGCAACAAAATCTGAAAAGTACACACACACTAAAGAGACTAGAAGCAAGTAAGATGAAAGGAATTATTATTATTGTGATTTTTCTCAGATAAGATCCTTAATGGGAACAAGAACCAATACAAGTTATTACTGTGAATCAGCACCCACCCCTCTCTGCCAAAAAAGAAAAAGAAGAAGAACCCAGTCTGACTGACTAGAATAAAAGGGGTTAGGAGGCTCCAGTGGAAGCTCACAATATGTACAGACAGGAAGCACCATCCTGAGCTGCCAGTATGCATGCAGCATACATTCAGGCCTTTTTTTCTACAACAAAGCAGATTTGAACCAAAGGAGCTGTTTATAATTGTATACTGAGTTTGATTTACTGAAGAACTGGTATCTGATTTTGTGTATAGATTCTGCTGTTTTGGGAAGTGCCTATGAATTGTTACAAGGGTACCACTGAAAAGATTTCAAACAATGCTACAGATTCTTAGGAGTTAAATGGCTTGTGAAGTGACAGAAGTAAGGTATTCAGAGAGGAAGATAATGTCACTGATGTCCTGTACTTCCTGACATCTTATAGTCTTCCCAGATCCTCAAAGAGATATCTGGAAAGGCAGCTGCTTGGGAATCAGCCATCAAACATTTTCTAAGCAGGATTTATAGACTAACATAATGTCCTTCATAGAGAAAGCAGGGTGAAGAGTAGATCATATGTGAAAAATACTGGACAGTACTCCAATGCCAGAGAGACAGGAGTTCAACCCAGAGAAGAGGCTGTCCTTCAAATGTCCTAAGGAGGCCACTGGATAATAATGGTCATTTTCAGGAGGACATGACCATGACCTGGCTAGAACATGTCCAAGGTGCTATAGTAGTGGTGAGGGACTATAGCTATGAACAGCCTTACGTACATTCTGATTATATAGTGTCTTGAAGTCATGGTGCTTAAGTGTTTAGCCAATTTTGTGGCACTGAGAGTGCAGACAACTCAAATGTGACATTATTAAGTGCCTTGCAAAAGGAGGGATAGAAAATGATTTGGAAAATGATCACAGAACCCATGATCACAAAGTGCAGTGATCCCCAGAAAACAGGTGAACTACAAAAGGATTAACTCAAGTGCCCAAGGGGCATTAAAACTCAAAAATAAATGTTAGACTTGACCTGCTCCCTGCCACCCAGGCTCCTGTGTGCAGCCCTCCCTTGTAGCTAGTCATGACACATCAGAACTTTATCAAAAAAATGTTTCAACTCCACCAAAGCCCTACTATACTCAGGTTTCCAGGAGATAGGGATAGGATGGGCAGATAGAGGTACAATGTTTACAAAATCAGAAACACTGAAAAAAAAAGCAAAGCTCTGAAAAGTTCAGGTTCAGCTACTTCTGCTTGCAAGTATCATTAACTGGCTTTACCTTAGGTTATACAGAAAATGAAACATCAGGCTGGTTGTAAACTGGGGCATTTGACAACAGAATACATGGATTTCCCATGTTAACTTTTAGACATTTACCATACTATGAAATAAAGCAGTATGTAAAATGTAATTATTAATGTGTTCCAATTCAATTGAAATATCATCTTGTTTTTGTGTTTTTCAGATTCTCACAACTTTGATCTATGCATATATGGCAAATCCAGCATTTGCTTTATAATGCATCTGGTGGATTAATTGTAATTACCTCTAATATAAAATGCTCAAAAATGTATGGAACTATCAAATATTTGCAAGTCTAGGGGAGCTGAGTGGTATCAATAAATATCTTGACTTGCTTAAAAACATTAACAGGAAGCTCTTGAAGGGAGGGGATACTGTAAATAAACTGCTATTGGTGCACCAATAGTTCCATGAGTGCTTTCAGCTGCTAAGAAATTATCCAGTTGACCAGCAAAGTAGAGGCAGAACATAAGGCAAAGTACTTAGCAGTGATGAAAACAGATCTTTTATGAATCAGAACTAACCAATCAGGTCAGGTGCAGATCACTAAGATTAGAGCTAGGTCTCACCACAATGCTTCAGCCAGTTCTGCTGGAAACTGGACTGATATGCAATCTTTTCAGAGATGAGGAGGTTCAGGACCAGCAGACAAGGCTGCACACTTCAGGGATGGCACCTAAAGAGTCTGACCCAACTATTCTGCTACAGCCTTGAACAAGATAGGCACAGAAAAGGTGGGTGCTCTCAAGAGAAAAATCTGGCTATGGTCCTCCAGCAACTGAAGGCCACCAGATTGACATCAGGAAATGGAGATGCAGGCTGCCCTAGGTCATTAAAAAAAAAAAAGATTAATCCCTGCTCTACTAGCTTTGACCAGATTCATTGTTAAACTTTATATATTTGTATGAACTTTACACACACACATATATAGTTAAACTGTAAATAATCTGGCATTTGTATATTTGTGCATTTATTCCTTATTTTGCTTGTTTTGCTGCAATTGTTAAGTGTATCATAAAAATAAAAAGTCACACCAATACTCACATTCTTAGACACAAAGCAATCAAACAATATTTTTTCAACTCACAAGTTACATAATATGGCTTTAACTGAGTATCAACAAAATACCAGATCTTAAAAGTCTCAATTTTTTTACCTGAAGAATGAGATTGGACTAGGTGACTTCTGAGGTCACTTCCAGCTCTAAAGTTCTTTAAATCTATGGCTCAATGAAATTAGTTAAGTACTTTCCCTTCCCTGCACCAAGAGAACGGAATTGAACTAAATTATGTGGTCCCTCCCAACTCTGACAGTCTATGATCTGATGAAATACAACATTCCCATACATAAGAATGGCTGTCAACACAAGAAATCCTTTCTCATTATAGTACAGTGATATATTCTCAGTCTCCAGCACCAACTCAAAACCCCAGTTTACAAAGAAACAATATTACAAATGGTGGTTACTTAAGTTCCCTAGCTATGTTCTATGTTTGCAATAGTATCACTGCTCTATTTCTGTGTGTATGTATATACACATGTGTATATATGTAAAACACATGTTATATATACACATACATACACATGCATGTGTGCATACACACACATACACACACACACACTGCACATGTACTACCTCTGACATATGTTGGTTTTGTAATCCTAAACAAGTCACTTAATTTCTAGGCAATCTTCTAAGTTAGTAAGTATTTATTAAGCCTCTCCTATCTGTCAAGTCAGGGCAGCTAGGTGGCACAGTAGATGGAGTATGGGGCTCACAGACAGGAAGCCTTATCTTCCCAAGTTCATATTTGGCTTCAGATACTGACGACCTGTGTGACCCTGGGCAAGTCACTTAATCCTGTTTGCCTCAGTTTCCTCTTCTGTAAAATGAGCTGGAGAAGGAAATCAAAAACTACTCCATTATCTTTGCCAAGAAAACTCCAAATGGAGTCACAAAGAGTTGGATACAACTGAAATGACTGAACAACAACTATGCCAAGCACTGTGCCTTTAAGCAAAACACTAGGATACCAGAATTGCAAAAAGGCAGTCCCTTCCCTCAAGGGAGTAAGTCAATAGGTATTTTTTTAATCACCTACTATGTGCAAGGCACTATGCTAAGAGCTAGGGATACAAAAAAGATGCAAAAACAGTCCCCCTCAAGAGGCTCACAATCCCATAGCAGAGACAACAGGCAAACAAATGTGTACAAACATAAGGCTCTAAGTTGCAGAGAAGGTGCCCAACTTTCATTGGTAGAAGGAGTTTCCTCACTGGCAATTCTCTATAGCAATTAAAATACAGGTCTAACCCGTATCCTTATCCCTATCTCCTTCCTGTAACCCATATTATCCAGAGTTTGGAATCCCAGGACTTTATAAGAAGAATGGGATATATTTTAAGAGGTTGGAAGATATAAGAATGTCACACAAAGGAGAAATGGGAAAAAAACTAGAACTAAAAAGAAAACATGAAGCTTTTCTAAAATAAGAGGGAGATGGAGAGTTTGAAGAAGATATGGTTACTTGTGCAGCAAAGAATGATAAGTATACACAGCCATCCACAGCTGGAATTGGAGAGAGAAGGGATGAAGACTGCTAGAAAGAATCCAGAGGAGGGCAAACAAGATGGTGAGGGGGCTTGAGTCCAAGTCATATGAGAATTGGAATTAGGGATAGTTAGCTTTTAAAAAGAGAAGCCTAGGCCCACCCCTCCTGAAGAAAGGTGGAGCCTGCTTCTGGCCAGACATGTCTAAATCCTCCGGACTTTCTTTGTAATAAATTTTCTTGATACTAAAAAACAATAAAACAAATAAAAAATAAAAAAAAGAAGCCTATGATAGGCCATGGAGGAAGAACCAGGTGGAAGGTGCAGGAAAAACTTCCTAACAACTAATGCTATCCAAAAATGGAACTGAGCTGCCACAAAATGGAATGGTTTCGCTTTCTTTAAAGGGCTTCAAGAAGAGACTGGATGTGATTGCTTGCCGAGCATGTTACAGTAGACATTCATTCTAATATGAGTGGAACTAGATGGCTGCTAGACGCTAGAATGACGTGCAGACTTCTCAGACACAAGGAGGTTCAGGATCAGCAGGAAAGCTGCCCACTTTAGGAGTGGCACCTAAAGACTCTGACCTATAATACAATGATAAAAACTAATGTTCAAAGTCCTTTGCAGCTTTAAAACTTTTTGAGTGTGTGATGTGTCAATGCGAAGATTCAAATTCTGGTCTGCCCGGCTCCCCGTTCAACAGTATTTCCATGTACAATGTACAGTATGTGCTGACAGAGACAGAAAGATAAATAGCAAACATCTGCTCTAAGAGAGAGGTGACATAACATTACATGAAGCAGAATTAGAAAAGCAGCTAGGGAGGTTTTCTGTGGGCACACAGACAGCATTCTCCCTCTTTATATTTCCTTTTATTATACTTATTCAGGACAGCCACCACAGAGGATGCTCTATGGACTGAGTGTATCCTGGGGATGAAGCAAAGAGAGGTGCTGTGATAACGAGCTTCCCGGGAGGGATCCTCAAAGAGGGGCGAGGCGCTCCCCTGGGGTCACCAGGTTAGCCCACCCTGATCTCCGAGAGAGGTCCCCTGCAGGGTCTCCTGGCGAACCCCAGCCCGGGGTCCTGGGCGCTCTCTGAGTCCGCTTCGGGGTCAGTGGATCCCTTAGAGACCAGCCCTCCAGCATCGTACAGAGGAGGAAACTGAGGTAAGGAGCCTGGAAGGGGATGGGCTGAGGTCAGAGAGCGAGTCTGAGGCTGAGCAAAGTCAGCCCCCGGAGCCGCGGGAGCTCGAGACCCTCAGGCCGCCCGCCTCCTTCCCCGCCCCACCCCTCTACCTACCCTACCCAAGTTAAAGGTCAAGGCTAATGGCGCCCCCGCCCTCTCCTCCCGAGAGGCAGCCCAGGCCCATCACCCCGGCAACTGCAGCACCTACCGGCCTCGAGAAAGGCCGCGAGACCGGCCTCAGGACTACTACTGCCACTGCCACTGCCGCTGCCGCCGCCGCCGCCGCCGCCAATGCCGCGCCCCCTACTTGGCCACGCCCCCGGAAGTTACATCTATCCGGCCCGCCCCACCCCCGCTCTGGGCGCGACCCAGAGCCCAACCAACCCTTACGTCATGGCTCCCTTCAGGCCGACCATTGGCTAATCCCGGGCAGGAGGGGTGGGGTCAAGGGGTAGGAGGGGACGGGCCTGTCTTGGATGGAAGGGGGCAGGAAGGAGGAGGCCAGAGAACAGTGCAGTGACGTAGGCACGCTCTTTGCGTGCTGCGTGGGAGGAGACGCGAGACGATCAACTAGGAGGTCTGGACAGAATTTTAAAAAAAAAACAGTACGGGCGGGCCCACCACGATCTTAAGGGAACAGTACCATAAACCCTGAACTACGGCTCTGCTTCCTTTCTCCCGTAGGTTCCCTCGAGTCAAATCAAGTCAAGTCAAGCCAACATGCGTTAATTCAGCATGTCAAGCATTGTGCTAAGCGCTGGGAATAAAAATACATCTCCCAGGACCTTATTCTGGAGATTTTCCCCAAGAAGAAGAGAATAGTTATTATAAAGCCTTAATAGCTGCTTGGGGAAACTGAGAATTTTCTGTGACTCATTAGGGTCACCCAGCCAGGAGTTGTCACAGAATCGGGACTTGAACCCAGTTCTCCCTGATTCCAACGTCAGCTTTCTATTTACTGTGCCAAGCTGCCTCCATATCCCCACTTTACGGACGAGGAAACTAAGACCTAGAGAGGGGGACTAGCCCGTGATCACACAAATAATGTCAAGAGTCGGGACTGAGGGGCAGCTAGGTGGCACAGTGGGTAGAGCACAGACCCTGGAGTCAGGAGGACCTGAGTTCAAATGCGCCCTCAGACACATAACACTTACTAGCTGTGTGACCCCTAGGCAAGTCACTTCACCCCAGTTGCCTCACCAAATAAAAAAAAAAGTTGGAACTGAAACTCAGGGCTCTATTTCCCTATTGGAAGGGCGGGGTGGGGGGAGGCGGAAAGGGGAGAGAGAGAGAGATGAGGAGGAGGAGGAGGAGAAGAAATAAAGAGATACAGATATACAGAGAAACATACAAAGCGATACAGAGAGAGATACATATACTTAAAAAGAAACATAAAGAGATACAGAGAGATACATAAAGAGAGAGAGGGTAGGAGGGATATCTGTGTGTGTGCGTGTGTGTGTATACACATGTATAGTTTTGCAAACCTTAAACAGCTATTTAATACCAGTTATTTATTACCATTGATGCCAACAGATAACTGCTGTATCCGATATCACTAATAGAAAAGAGAAAAACCAAGTGCTCTACATGACGACTGACAGGGAGCAAAGGGGCAGGTTTTCTGTAAGAGGTGACTTTTGAGTTGAGCTTTAAAGGATGGTTTAAAAAAAAGCGCATTCCAGATATAAGGAACAGTGTGAGCAAGGGAAGGGGAGAGTGTGTTCCAAGGACAGAGCCTGTTTAGCTCATAGTAAGTGATGGAGATTAATGTGAGGTAGGGCTGGACAGGTAAGTGCCACATGACTGCAGGGGGCTTTGAATACTAGGCAAAGGAGATGAAAGGGTACTCAGGAGGTAATAGGGAACTTGTGGCAGGCCCAGGTCTTCTGACCACACAACCAGTGTACTAAAAATTCAAGCATTTATCCAGATCAAATGGGGCAAAATAGGTTTTCTTGAACTAATTAGGTAATTAAGACAAGATTATTTTTGTTCCGTTTAGACAGATCTTAGAGGCATGGTGGAATCTTTATCATTCTTGCTAACTGAAATTACATGCTTTGGGAAAAGAAAAAAGTGTAAATTTGGAAAGTGAAAAGCTGATGTACAATTTAGTATATGAGAAAAGAACTTGGATTTCTGTACCTTAATTTAAAATGTAGAAATGACAGACTGCTAGCCAGGGGTGGAAAGCAACTAATTTAGGCAAGGTAAAAATCACTTTGCCCTAGAAATAGCATCAGACCCCAAACTATGTCATAAAGTAGTCATTGTCAAACTATTTGATACTAATTAAAAAACAGAAGAACAGATCAGTGGAGTAGCCTACTAAGTAAGAACAAAAAGTAATCAAAAAGAGTAGCCCAGGGTTTGGTGAACCAAATATTCCTAGGGAAATTCTTGAGGGAGGGTGGGTAAGGTCTCTATTTGACAAGAACTGCTGGGAAAAACTAAAAAGCAGGTTGATAGAGATTAGATTTAGACCAAGGTATTACATAATATTTCAAAATAAATTAAATTTGATTAAAGATCATATAAGAATTAGAAGAAAAAAGATCATGCACACTTTATAGCTATGTCTAAAAGGTAAATTCTTAACTAAACAAGGGATAGACATTATTTAAAAAAAAGATTTTAAGGTAATTTTCATTAAATGAAATTATTTTTATAGTATTTTGTAATCTATTTGATACTAAGATTTTTTTATCCCAGTTCCTGCTTCCTTTTTTATAGCATTAACTTTGTTAGTGAAATTGAAAAGCTTTTTCATGAACAAAATTGATACAACAAAAAGTGAAACAGTAACTGTAGGGGAAAACATCTTTGTATCAAATAAATATCTTTGATAAGAGCCTGACATAAACAAGAAAAATGTATGACTAAAAGTCATTCCCCCTACTAGATAAGTGGACAAAGAATAAAACAAACAGTTCTCAAAAGAAAAATTGCAAACTATTAACAATCTTGTGAAAGAATACTCTAGTCATTAATAAGCAATTTCACCTCACACTCAGCAAATTGGCAATGACAGCAAAAGATGAGAATGCTTTATGTTGGAATTGGTGTAGAAATACAGGCACACTAATGCATTGTTGGTGTAGCTGTAAATTGGTCCAGCTATTTTGGAAAACAATTTGGAATTATATGAAGAGAGTGATTAAAAGGCCAATGCCCTTTGATCCAGAAATTCTATTGCCATGAATATACTACAAGAATATGTATCAAAATATTTATAGCATTATTTTTTGTAGTAGCAAAGAATAAACTGGAAACAAAATAGTTTCCCATCAATTGGGGAACAGCTAAAAAAAAAACAACAATGAAACACATGAAGGCCTTAAGACCTGATTCAATGACAAATAAGCAGAACCAGAAAACTATGTTCACAAGGACTACAATAACATAAATTTAAACAACAGAAACAAAAATGTTGAAACTGGCTGCTATGAAATTATAATGAACAGTCTTAGGTCCGAGGAAAAACTTTGAGAAGATACCTCTCTCCTACTTCTTTGTAGAGATGGAGGACTATGGGTGTGGAACACTCCATATAATGCCAGACTGTTATGCTAGTTAGCTTTACTGAAGTTCCTCCTTTCCTTCCCCACCCCCACTAATTTTATATAAAGGATGGCTCTCTGGCAGGAGGGAAATGCATTGGGAAATGCAGGTCATTCAATAAGATCAGTGTTACTGGATTACAAAGCACATTAGAAGGGAGTAAGGTGTAAGAAGACTGGAAAAGTACTAAGAGAACAGGTTATAAAGGGCTCTGAATGCCAAAAGATTTTATATTTCATCCTGGAGGTAACAATAAGCCCCAGAATTTTATTGAATGGAAGGGTAATTGTCTGATTGTCTGGTCTGCACTTTAGGAAGATCAGTTTGACAGCTGAGAGGTGGATGGATTGAAGTAGGGAAAGACTTGAGTCACAGAGACCAACCAGCAAACTGTTGAACTTGACCAAGCATGAGGTAGTGTTAGAGGAGAAAAGCTAAGGGAGGGAACATATGAGAAATATTATAAAGGTACAAATAATAGGACTTGATAACTAAATGGATACGTAGGATGAGAGTGAGGTGTTGAGAATAATACCTAGGTTTTGAGCCTGGGGATGTGAGAGAATGACAGTACTCCTTTTTTTTTTCCTTAATAGTATTTCATTTTTCCCCAATTACATGTAAAGATAGTTTTCAACATTTATTTTTGTAAAATTTTGTGTTCCAAATTTTTCTCCCTCCCTCTCTTCCCTCACCACTCCCCAAGATAGCAAGCAACATGATATAGGTTATTCATGTACAATCATGCTAAACATATTCCCACATTAGTCATGTTGTGAAAGAAGAATCAGAAGAAAAGGGGGAAAGCACAAGATAGACAAAAACAAAAAACAAAAAAAAATGAAAATAGTATTCTTTGATCTGCATTCATACTCCGCAGTTCTTTCTCTGGATGTGCTTAGCATTTTCCATCACAAATCTTTTGGAATTTTCTTAGGTGAGAATGATAGTATTCTTAACAGTAATAGGGAAGTTGGGGAGGGGGTATTGTAGGAAAAGATATTAAGTTCAGTTTTGGATATGTGGAATTTAAGATGTCTATGGGACATTTTAAGTCTCAATAAATCTTAATTACATTTTAATAACAATTAATTGACTGACATCTAGTTCAAGATGGCAGTTGGAGATCCAAGACTAGAGATTAGGAGAGAAGTTTGGCCTGGACAAGTAGATCTGAGAGTCATCAGCAAAGAAGATAATTGAATCCTTGTGAGGTGATGATATTCCCAAACAAAACAGTATAGAGGGAGAAAAGGGCCTATGGCAGAGACTTGGGGGACACCCACAGTTAGTGCATGTGACCTGGATGAAGATCCAGCAAAGGAGACACACAAAGATGGGTAGAAAGAGAACAAAAAGAAAACTTGTCACAAGAACTCAGAGAGCATCAAGAAAAGGGTGATTGACAGTGTCAAAGACTGCAGAGAAGTCAAGAAGGCTGAAGTAATGAAAAAATAAAAGATAGCAATTTTATTTTTTTAATCATGTTTAAAAAAATGGACAAGCCATCGGATTATGTACCTTTCACAACTACAGCTAATAGGAGAGGTCTTAACCAAACAAGGAATGGAGGCAATCATAAACAGAAACATAAATCATTTTAATTGAGTAAACTTTTTAAAGATCTTTTTCACTAATGAAATCAATTAAGATTTAATAAGAAAAGAAATTGACAAGAGCAAAAATATTCACACTAAGTGTCACTTATAAAAATCTAACATACAAAATATATTG